AGCTAAAGGGAGACTTAGATTAGCATTAGTCCACAGAAAACAGAAAAGAATGGCAACTTGTCTTTTCAACGCTCTCTGGTTCTATTTCCATTGGCTGAATTTACTGACACCAGAACCACCATCTGCGCTTTTCTGCCTCACATCATCCTACCACTTGATGAGCATTTAGAAAATATCACATGGTCACAGTTTTCTGTTCCACTCAAACCCAAAATGGATCTAGAGCATTAACACCATGCAAGATACAGGCCAGGAGAACAGGAGCTAGACAACAAATACAAAGATGGACCCAAGTTTCTGCAAAAACCATCTGCCACGCAAGAGTCAGATGTCCTTAAACCTTCCAGTACAATTGCCTTTCTGATGGTACAATCTGTGCAAGTTCAATGGGCCTTGTGCTAGAAGGGCCTTATGCTTGTTTCAATGCTCTCCTCTTGCCATTTGGTTTCTCCAACACAGAGTGCTCTTCTGCCGAAAGTGAAGTAGCTCTGTATGGGTTTGGTTTCCGCTTTTCTTGGTGGTGTAAGTAAGGAAGGTCCACTGGGTCTCAGTTCTCTGTGTTCATTTTGCCTGCAGCAGAGTTTGCCAGTCACTGATACTATGGATTTTGTGGTAGAAAATAACGTGTTGACCTGGTGGCCAGACTCATGGAATTGGGAGAGCTTGACCACAAATTATCTTGCCCAGGAACAGGATTTATGTGAAATTATGAAGGTCAGCAGTCTTGGTCATAGTGAAAATAATTGGAAGTAAAGAAGATTCAACTAATACATGATTTCCTTATGTAGAATTAAGCAGAGGCAATTCATAGGATGAATGTTTGGAGAATGTGGTGTTAGCATGATCAGAATGATGTCAAAAAGCCACACATCACATACTTGTGCAGGCCAAAACCTGGGATAAGTGCCTTCAACTGAATTGTACTAGACAAGGCTAACTCCATATTTCTGAAAAGTTCAACACTTGTTACCAAGTGATCATATATCAGAAATATTATGTATATGACGGCTATTGTGGCTAATTACATATTTTTTAGTCACAGGACTTCTAAAACAGGTGATGAAAGCAACACAAGCAAATGAAGGTAGATGGCTTTCTCAGGTTTCCCCTGGATCCACCCTCGTTCATTACAAATCCCTCCAGCAGCTTGAATCTGCTGAGCCGTCTGCACGGTGGGCAGAGGAGCTTGGACCAGAATCTGCACCAATTACGGAGTTGCTCTGGAGTTTACTCGGAGTCAGTGGTCTTTAGGTAAGCTCCATGAATGGATGGTAATGATATTCCACAATGTGTGTCTCTTGGCTCCAAAATCTAAAGAGTTCCAACACTCAAGGTGCATTTTGAAAATGAAAAGAATATAGGAGGAGGACAACATCACCCTTAGTTTAGAAATGATATGTGCACAATGTGGACCAGAATATCAACTCATCTAATAGGTTCCTGACTCTTTCAGGTTTGTTGCCATTCCTCTAAGCCACTCGTCTTCCATTTTATGTTATTAAAGGAATGTGTCACCTCTTATATAGGTCCAAATTAATTTAGCTTCATTAATATACTTACTAAGATATTTTGAAAATAAGCAGTCATGCTGAAAGCCAGTATGGGGAAGTATAGTTCAGGCACAGAGTGTGGAACTTTCACTGCAAGGCCAAGGTTTAAGCCCTAGAGCCACAAAAGCAACATATCAAGGAATAGAAAATCTCTTAGTATACAAGTGGTTCAGCCCTGACATTACACAATGTTGTCCTTCAAATCCAAAAGTTAATTGTTTTGATTTTCCCCCAAGTTGAATGTCATTTAAAAGATATTCAACAACAACAATAACAACAAAATAAATAAATAAAAGATATTCAACAGCCCTATGGTAACATAAAAGCTGCCAGAGGTTATGTTTTGCTCGGTAGTATATAACTTTTGAAGACTATCTATCAGTGCAATGTAAATTTTTGGTAATCCTTACTCAACCCATATTTCATCTTGTCTTAACAGAGGTTGTGTGTTATTTCATAGGGTTATGAAAAGAACACAGCTACCTCTAATTTCAAGGTGATGGAAAGAATTATTTTCATGTCTCAGAAGTATTTAATTCCTTAGAAGAAGCAACTAATATAATTTCTTAAAGTATATTTTATTTTATTGATTGTAATGAGTGGAGTCTTCCAAAGGATCTAATTTGGTCTTTTGTTATTTCACACGTGAGGAGCAATGAGATCTTGCAAGCAGAAAATCTGTGCATTTGAGCTATACATTCAGTGTATGGTGAATCTCTACAGACTCATTAGATCCAGCTTGGGATGGACTTGAATCAATTTTCTAGAGAATGTCCGAAATTCATATATTCATGCTCCATGCAGTGGACAACAAGATATCTTTGTGTCCCCAGATACTAGAGCCAGTTCCTACCATGCTCCTGAAGTCCTGAAGAAGTGGGTGTAAGAGAATTATCTAGTCACTGTCTTCGGGTAACCAGCCACAGGATTTGGGAAACAACACATGAACACACCGAGACTCATCTTGCAGTGCGCTTTCAGGGTGCTGTAGAGAGAAGACTTAGATTTCCTTTAATTATTGGAGTTTGGTCCATTGAACGGGCTCCATGCCAATAGTGGGTGAGTGGTTTTGACATTCACTTTGTGTGATGAGCTCAGTAAAAACCTTTCAGCCCTCTTTTGCTCTTGTTTTACAGTTCTTAGCTGACTTCGAAGCTTTTTTGATGCTCTCTTGTGGACCCACCTGTTAGGCTGTGGCTCTTCCTGTTTCCTAGGCTCTGCCCTCTGCAGACTTCCCAGTGAGCCCAGGCTGGCCTTGCTCTGTGTTCGTCCCGTGTGGAGGATCCGCTGCCCTGCACGGAGCTTGCTTGCTTCCCAGTGCACTGCTCTCTCACAGCTCACCTCCCTGCACCTGAGCGTGAGTCTGGGTCTCCTTGGCCCGCTTGATCTCTTCTTCCCACACTGAACATGTACCGCCTCCAAAGGGCTGTTATTCCGCTTGTGACCGGTAATGTTCGCTTTGCCCGTAAGGCCACAGCAGGGTCCTGACAATATAGTTCACATTTCCTCAGAGATGAATGAGGCTGATTTAATCTATCTGTACCTCTATCTATCTATCTACAGATCTATCATCTATCTCGCATCTGCATATATTCCCATTTATGTTTGTATTGAACAGTATATTATTTTTCCTCAAATGGCAAAGGTTCATTTAATACTGACACTACTAAAAATATGGAGGGAAGGTGCGAGCCACAATCTTTTTTTGTTTTAATTCCTGTAAGTCTTAATTTAGTTTTCTAAAACGTGACAACATATGTATTTGTAGATTGATAGGCAAGAGATCATGACTATAGATATAAACATAAATGCAGAGATAGATTAATTATCTTTTATTGACCACATTAAATTTTTGCAATTAGGAGAGTAAATTAAACATGAATGATAAAATTCACATGAAATTCCCTGAGTTCTTCCAGATAAACTTTCTATGACATTGACACTGAGTGGACGAGAGCACCACTCCTGTCACGCACTTAGCTTTTCCTTTCCTTTCAGCTGGAAGGTGTGGGGATTATTCTGTGTCACCCTCACTTTGTCATAGAAAGCCAGTCCTCCCCTGGGAGCTGTTGTCCCAGGGAAGCCTCCAGGGTTCTGGTCCAGAGTGAAAGGTGCAGTGGTGGGGCTCAGGCCAAGCTCCTCCCTGGACATTGCAGCCCTGATTCGCTTCTTGTGCTCTGTCTGGCTCTGTTGTGAAGTTTAGTGAATTTCAGTAGTGGCGCCCACTGCACACAAACCCATCTCTTCGTTTCAAGCCTCTCTTTGTCATTGTGTCCAGACCTCATCTTTGTTATCGGAAAAAGGACAGAACATAGGGAGTTGACAGAGCAGACCTTAAATATCTCCCAGAGGTCATACATGGAAGGCTTGCTCACCAATCTATGTCCATTCTGCTAAAAATCTGTGCCTAATAGCAGAGTTTGGTGTGAGGGGCAGGACCTTGAAGCAGATATTGGGACACCAATTCCATCCTCTCTTTCTTTAGTCTCTGGCCTCATCCACCCTCCCCACCAAATGATTCACCCTCCCCACATAGCCAGAAACAATGGAACCAAGTCACCATGCAAAAATCCTGTGAATATGTGAGCCCAAGTACATTTTCCTCTTTGTTATCTCTAGTGATTTGTCACAGTGATCGAATGCTAACAAGGGCACTTTCTTCCTCAAAGAGTTACATTGGTGCTTCTGTTAAAAAAAGATTCCATCACTTTTAACAGGCATAGAAAAAAAATGAGCTCCAAGAGCACCGAATATTTTATACTAATATATACTTGATACCCAAGTATATATATGTTTGATACCCCAGCCCCATCTTAATAGCTATCAAAATAATAAGCATGAGTTAGATGCATAATAATGTTCAGTAAATGAATAAACTGGATTAACAAAGTGAAAAAAGGAGATCAGATCCAAATTAGTGTGTGCTTAGAGGGGAATGTGTGTATGAATGTTTTTGTAAAGGTAAATTATGAACATTTTTCTTAGTAGTGAACATTAAAGATAAAAGGCTCCATGAGATTATCAGATAACTGCTAGTTTGTAGGAAGAGCTTTGCACATTTTATGCATAAATCCATGCATAGGGCACATTTTGCAGTCTGAAGAACCTCAGTGCTTATGAATTTTCTTATTCCAGTTAAAATCTTCTTCATTTCTATAGAAGTTAGAATTTTGTTATGTTATCTACCAAGACCTCAAGTAGCCAGATTCAAATATGGAAAAGATACAAGACAGCAAAACAATGCAAATCATGATCATTTCCATGTTAGCTCTTCAATTTCAGTGCTTTTCCCATCATCAACTGGACAGACTCAAGGTTGGCCTTGGCAGGGCACACAGTGCCTTCAAGAAGCTCAGCTGGGCTGTCTGTGAAAATACGATTTTCATGCAGACAGGGAGGAACCTACTTACTGGATATCTTCATGTGTTCCTGTTTACTTGATGTTGCATACGCAAACTGTTAAGGACATCGTATTCTGAAATTTCAAGGACAAGATACACATATAATTTTATTTGAATGCATTAAGAAATCTTCGGCCCTGCTATTAGATGTGGAAGGTTTTCTGACTGACAATGGATGGTGTCCTACAGAGAATACTGACCATCCTGTTAAGCGTGGAATACATTACAGGAAACTTAGGAAATGGATTCATAGCAGTGGTGAACCTCATGGACTGGGTCAAGAGAAGAAAGATGTCTTCAGTGAATCAAATCCTCACTGCTTTGGCAATCTTCAGAATTGCTTTTCTCTCGTTTCTCTTCCTCGAGTGGTGGGTATCTTACCCAGATTTACTAGGGAGTGCAGTGATGTCGCGAGTGACTTCTATTACCTGGATGGTGACCAGTCATTTCAGCATGTGGCTTGCTACCAGTCTCAGCATCTTTTATTTTCTGAAGATAGCCAACTTTTCTAACTCTACTTTTCTTTACCTAAAGTGGAGAGTTAAAAAGGTGGTTTCAGTGACCTTGCTGGGGTCTCTGGTTCTCTTGTTCTTAGATATCTTCGTAATGGAAATATGCCATAATGAATGGATCGCTGTATATGCGACAAACATATCTTCCAGTTCCAGTTCTCATAACTCTACACAGTTTTCCATACTTCTTTTATCCACCGAGACTGTGCTCATGCTCATACCCTTCGCGGTATCCCTGACATCTTTCCTGCTGCTCATCTTCTCCCTGGGGAAGCATCTGAAGAGGATGCAGCACAATGCCGGAGGGTCCAGAGACGCCAGCACCATGGCCCATATGAAGGCCTTGAGAACTATGATTGCCTCTCTGCTGCTGTATATCACTTTCTATCTCTCTCTTGTTGTACATACTCGTTACCCAGCATTTCCAAAGGCAAATCTCACTGTTTCTTTCTTCTTGCTATCTATTCTAATAGCTTTTCCCTTAGGTCACTCATTTGTCTTGATTCTGGGAACCTATAACCTGAGACGGGCTTCTATTGCGTTCCTGATGTGGCTGAGGTGTTGTTCCAGAGTTATGGAATCCTTGGACCCATAGACATTTCAGCGATCCTCCTGCATGAGTTCCAGAAGTAAAGCAGAGAACAGATATTCCTACCTTTATAAAACTCTACTCTCCAAATGTCCTTCTTTGACATGGAACTTTGTAGAATTTACAACAGTATGGTAAAATAAAACTATCTTTTTTACCTTACAACTTTAAATGTGTATATATGTGTGTGTGTGTGATATATATCTATATATATCTATATGTATGGTATATCAATGCAAAATATTCATATGGAAGACATTTTTTAGTGAAAATATTTTATCAAGTGTCATATTTCTAATTTGAAAATGAGAAAACTATATGTAACATATATGTGTATGTAGACATGTAAATTATAGCAACTGAAATTTCCTAATTTTATATGCCACAAACAGTTACTATGTATAATTTTTGCTTCAGCATAAGCTACAATTGAGAAATACGGAGTAAAATATAGACTGTTGGAAATCAATACACTAATTCTACCAGTTTAAATCTGAGATTCAAATTATAAAGTAAATGAAAATACATCGGAATCATGAGGTTACGTTTTGACTTTTGTGTGTATAGTATTGCTTTCACATTTAAGAATTCTTTAAAGATTTTATGTTCATTATGAATGGCTAGTTCATATGAGGAAGTACAGTCTTCTCCAATTCTTTCCCCAGGCGTACCTCACGTTTCCTTGTAATTTTAAGGTACAAGAACACAGAGTCATACCAATGATCGTCTCTCACCTGAGTGCCACGGGAGGAAGTTGGTGTTTTTGTTTTATATTATGGCATCAAGCACTCTTATTTTCCTTGTGTGTAAAAAAATCAAGTTTTCATAGACAGAAAAACTTGGAAAACTTAGAAGTATCCAACACATAATTAACACAAACTTCTGTGATGTTTATAAGATGTTGATATTGGTTTTTTGGCAGAAAAGATAAACAAATAAAATAATCTCATACAATACGTATTTAAAACATATTGGGGTCAAGAGGTTAGATTAAGAGAAGGAAGCATTGTTCAGTGCTGTGTTCAGTACTGTTAAATATTTAGTAAGATTAAAGCCTGTATGTTTCTGGAAATGATGAAATCTTTATTCGTATTTATTTTCACAAAAAATACCTTGAAACTGCCAGGTTTATGTTTGGTACAGGGTTTTTTTGTTGTTCTCTCAGCGCACTTTATTTATTTGCTCATTTGTTTAAAAATTATATGAGGATCTCTTTCCTGTGCATCCCCTGGAGGCATTATAACGAGAAACCGAAGTTATGGAGTAAAAATCAGCATCTCTAATAGCCGCCGTAGAGAGCATGTTACAATTCATAGGTGCGAGGTAGTCCGTAAGTCTCCTGTCTTTTTAGTCCTTTGCGTGTTTCACGTTGTTTATCGGGCGAATCCTCTGCAGCTCTGAGATGAGAGGGGAGGGCCGCGTTCAGGGCAGAACGAGGCAGCACAGAGCCAGGAGACCTGAAGCACAGGGAGTGGGCCCCCGAGATTCCAATGAAGCAGCAAAAAGGAGAGGATTCACACAGCCCGGAGCACATTGTGGTAGAAAAATGATATCTGTGCACCCATGTTTATCGCAGCACAGTCTGTAATAGCTAAAATTTGGAAACAGGCCAATTGCCCATCAACTGGAGACTGGATAAAGAAGATGTGTTTTTTAATAAAATGGAATACTACTCAGCCATAAAGAATGAGGAACTTGAGACATTTATAACTAAGTGGATGCACATTGAGCCTGTACTCTTAAGTGACATTAATAGACACACGTGTAAATACCTAATAGTTTCTCTGATGTGAAAAACTAAAAGTGTAAATAAGGATCAAAATGTATGGTTGATATTGTGTAATAGGAAGAAAATGTCTAAAGGAGTAGAAGTGGGAGGGGTAGAGGAAGGTAAAAAGGGAAAAAAAACATGAGAGAATGAAAAAATGGAAACAAAGCTTTTGTAAATAGGGAAGGGTGGAGGGGGAGAAGGGAGGGCAGGGATATGGGGAAAAAATGAGAACTAAGAACTGTCATGTAAAGGTACAAGATCCCAAGGATGAATGTAACTGTACTGTATACCTAAAATGTACCAATAAACTCAATGAGGAAAAAATATGTGAAAAGGAAAAACATGGAAACAATATCTTTGCAAACAGGGAAGGGTGGAGGGGGTGAAGGGAGGGCTGGGGGAATGGGAAAAATAAGAACCAAGATAAGTCATGTAAAGGTACAAGATCCCAATGATGAATGTGACTGTACTGTATACCTAAAATGTATCAGTAAACTTAATAAAGATAAAAGAGAAAAACTATGTAAACAACATGAACTCTTGTTTCTAATATTAAACATTCCAATTTTTTTAAATTGAATTTATTGGTACATTTTACATATACAGTACAGTTGCATTCATTATTGGGATCTTGTACCTTTACATGACAGGTCTCAGAATTTCTAGCATTAAATGTAAAACGTTTTCTATAATCCATGTCTCTGTTATCAGGGTTAGTCCTGAAAACCATGGCATCACTTTTGGTATGTAAAAAATGCTAAAAGAATACCTTGTTCAATTTCCAAAAGCTAGAAAATGGAAAAAAAAAAAAAAGGTTGGCAATACCAATTTGATTCTCAAGATGAGATTCTTAAGTACTTTCTGTTTTTCTCATATCATCATTTTTGATCTTCAGGGGTTGGAGTCATGGATAGTAACATATAGATGATTAAAGGCTTTATATAAAATGAGAGTATTTTTATATAACAGTGCACATCTTCTTGTCTGCCTTAAATTATGTATAGTTTACTGGTAATAACTAATAAACATAAATGCTATGCAAATAGTCATTACACTGTATTGTTTGGCAACTAACCATAAGGAAAAGAAGTTTGAATATGTTTCAGGAAAATAAAAATTTTTGAATATTTTCATTCAATAATGAACAAATAAATAGAGTTAAATGTGAAAATGTGTAAAAGACTTTAATGTGAAAGACAGTTGATAAATGTTTTGGACTATGAAGATTCATTGAGAAAGAAGGGGAATTAAAGTTTAATGTGATTTTCAACTCAGTTTTTTTTTTTTTTTTTTTTTTTGGTACTGGGGATTGAACTCAGGACCTTACACTTATGAGGCAGGCAGCGGAACCACTGAGCTAAATCCCCTGCTAATAACGAAGTTACATATCTATAACTACTAGTCATCAGTAGCTAACTATACAGAGAGCTGGATTTCTGGAAAAAGTAGGAAACATTTGAAAAGATAATCCTACAGGTCATTTTCTTTAAAAAATTCTCCCTGCCATAAAGAGCGAGAGAATAGATTCATTCATAGGAAAATGGATACATATTGAAGATATACTCCTAAGTGAAATAAATAAGTCCCACATGTGTAAATACCAAATAGTTTCCCTGGTGTGAATATTCTGCAACAATGCATAAGATTCTAATAAGATTACTGACATTTAGAAATGGGAGGAAAGGAGCTAAAGGTGTAGGGAAGGTGTGATACGTAGGGGAAGAACAAAAAGGGAAAAGAAAAAAATGTGAGAGAATGAAAAGATGAAAATAAAGTGTTTGTAGATGGGGAGGGGAGGAGGGGGTGAAGGGAGGGCAGAGGTAAGGGGAAAAAAATGAGAATCAAGACTTGCCATGTAAAGGTACATGATCCCAACAATGAATGTAACTGTACTGTATCCCTAAATGTACCAATAAACTCAATAAAAAAAAAGAATTCTCCCTGGATCCTCTGTTTTTGTTAAAATAAATCCTTGGTAATGATGAACCACTGTAGTCAAAATCAGAGGCCTGAAATTCATCACCAGTTTAGATATTTTCTGCATGCTTCATACATTTTGTTTAACATTTGCCTAGCTGACATTCAATGTTGAAGGAGCCAAATTACATATGAGTTAGATGGCAACAAATGCAAAAGAAAGGAAAAGAATGTATATTCATTTGCCTTCTCAAAAATTAAGTCAATTTTTATTCCAACACCTCCAGGTTTATGTTGCAGTGTTTGGATTCATTTTGAGCTGTTTGGGGAATAGCAGTGATTTCCACAACAGTGCAGTTGAACTTATCCTATGACATACTGTGGTGTTTTCATGGTTAATATTGGTCACAAACTTTAAAAACAACAGAAAATGTATCAGAAAACCAGAAACTAGTGAGTAGAGCTTTTGGTGAGGAAAGTGAGAAATCATAGCATCGAATCCTGACACATTATGCTTTTTTCAATGTTATAATGAATTTCATTTGCACTGAGCAACATTTACTAAGTAATGAGGAATTTTTTTTGTTTTTGGAAATTGTGCAAATGTCATCTTAGCACTGGCTAAGATCTAATATATTCTTTGAGCTCATGGGATTCTCTGCTTTCAAAATCTACTGAGTCGTTTTCCCTTAGAATTGTAGCACACCGATATTCCACTGTGATGAATCCAGGTTCACATGATGAACCTCTAAGAATTATTTTTCTTATTGCCTGGGGAGTAATGAGTGATTTTAATAGCTGGCTGGTAAGCCTGGCTTGATGTAGCCATTTTGTTTTCAACTTTCATCCTTCACCTGAAATAGGAGGGAAGCAGTACCATAACAATCAGAAAAACAGGTTCTATGGTTTTCTAATCTTCCCATAGCAGACACACATGAGACAATGCCAGTGAACGAATATGTGGAAATGAGACTTGGATGACTAAGTCAAAGGATCTTTCAGACGGACCATTAACTCTCATGAACTTCCTATCCTTGATTGCCTCCCTTATCTTTCTTCTCTTCTTTGGCTACTCCTTCACTAAGAAGCTCGTGAAGATGCAGCTCAAGGGCAGAGGATGCCAAGACCCCAGCATCAAAGTCCATGGAAGGCCTTGCAAAGTCTTCTGTTTGCTTTTCTCTTGTTCTCCTTTCTTGTGCAAACGTCATGCATCCCATTTCTGTAGTCACAGCACCCTGGAGCTTAATGGGCTACTGAGTACATTGGCCCTTTTAGATCATTACTGAGTATATTTCAAACCACCTATGTATTTTGATTTGGGGAAACAAAAAATTAAAATGTGTTCTTTTTTCCTGGAAGGTGAGGTTAT